ACCTCTTTACCTTATCTAAATACTGTTCACTTATATGTTTCACTATAAACACCTGGTCCCACACACCCCCTACTTTCCTAAAGCCTCCTTGTTCATTGCTATCCTATTCCCCGTCTTATCTTAATTCTTTCAATAATAACTCTACCATACACTTTTACCAGGTATACTCAACAGACTTATCCCCTATAATTTTTGCACTCTCTTTTGCCCCCTTTGCCTTTATACAAAGGAACAAAGCATGACCCTCTGCCAATCCCTAGGTACCTTACCCTCTTCCATCATTTATTAAATAATAGCACCAACCACTCCAAAATATATCCCACCTGTTTTTTAACATTTCTATCTTTATCCCTCAATCACTGCTGCCTTAACCCCTTTCATTCTACCTACTGCCTCACGAACTTCCCCCACACTCACAACTGGCTCTTCCTCACTCCTACAAGATGTTATTCCTCCTTGCCCTATACACGAAATCACAGCTTCCCTATCTTCATCAACATTTAAACAATTCCTCAAAATATTCCCTCCATTTTCCCCAATACCTCTAACTCTCCATTTAAAAAACTCTCCTCTCCTATTTTTAACTGACAATCCATTTGTTCCCTAGGTTTTCCTTAACTTGTTAATCTCACTCCAAAACTTTTTCTTATTTTCAACAAAATTTGTTGATAACATCTCACCCACTCTCTCATTTGCTCTCTTTTTTACATTGCTTCACAACTCTCTTAACCTCTCTCTTTTTTCTCCATATACTCTCTTTTTTCTCCATTTTACTCTTCCCTCCTTGCATCACTTCTACTTTGTAAAAGCTTCTCATATGCAACTTTTTCTCCCTTACTACTCTCTTTACATCATCATTCCACCAATCCCTCCTCTTCCCTCCCGCACCCACTTTCCTGTAACACAAACTTCTGCTGAACACTCTAACACTACATTTTTAAACCTACCCCATACGTCTTCGACCCCATTGCCTTGCTCTCATTAGCCCATTATCCTCCAAAAGTTGTTTTTTATCTTATCCTAACCGCCTCCTCTTTTAGTTTATTAAACCTTCACCTCTCTCTTACTTGATGCTTCTATTTCTCCTTGTATCCCATCTACCTTTTACTCTTAGTGTAGCTACAACTAAAAAAGTGATTTGATATATCTGTGGCCCTCTATAACATGTCAACCTGAAGTCTACTCAACAGTCTTTTATCCCCAAATACATAATCCAACAAACTACTGTCATTTCACCCTACATCTATTTGTATACTTATTTATCCTGTTTTTCTTAAATATGTATTACCTATAACTAACCCCTTTCTATACAAAGTTCAATTTAAAAAGGGGTCCCATTATCATTTAACCTGGCACCCCAAACTTACCTACCCACCCTCTCTAAAAGTTTCTCCTACTTTAGCATTCAGGTCCCCTACCACAATTACTCTCTCACTTGGTTCAACATCTCCCAAAATCTCTCTCTCTCCTCTACATTCCTCTCTTCTCCAGGTGCATACACGCTTATTTTACCCACTTTTCGCATCCAACCTTTACTTTAATCCACATAATCCTTGAATTTACACATTTTATATTCTCTTTTCTCCCTTCCCTAACTGATCCTTCAACATTACTGCTACCCCTTTCCTTTGCTTAACTCTCTCAGATACTCCAGATTTAATCCCATTTATTTCCCCCCCCCGAAAACCTCCCCTACCCCCTTCAGCTTTGTTTCGCTTAGGGCCGGACATCCAACTTCTTTTCATTCATAACATCAGCAATCATCTGTTTCTTGTCATCGCACTACATCCCGCACATTCAAGCATCCCAGTTTTATAAAGTTTTTCTTCTTCTCTTTTTTAGTAAATGTTTACAGGAGAAGGGGTTACTAGCCCATTGCTCCCCGTATTTTATATTTATATATATATATATATATTATATATATATATATATATATATATTATATATATATATTATATATATATATTATATATATACATGTATATATCAATGAAATAACGAAACTGCTTGTTGAGGCGGGTATTCAAACAGGATAAGGCTGAAATTAATCCTTGAGATACCATTTGCCACGAGTGTCCTCGGGCCAAGGCGAACACATAGCTACGTGTTGTGTGCTTGGCTCTTGTAGGATCAGTGGCGTAGTGGTAAGGTGATGCGAGCATTGTTCTGTCTGTGGAGGCGGTACATATGTTCGTAGGGTCGAGTCCTGGCCTGCCGCAGTTTGGTAATTAATATATATATATATATATATATATATATATATATATATATTATATATATATATATATATATATATATATATTTATGATATATATATATATATATATATATATATTAAATTGGGTTGCTAACGAGGAAAATAGGGGTAGCTCAGAGGATATATGACAAGAAACCAAGAACCCATCCAAAACCACAATCACCTCCTATGTTGTTCCCTGAGCCACGTGGTGCACAACACCTGGACAGCACCTCCTGAACTGACTAAACTAGACATAGCAAAGTCTCCTTATTAGACAAGACTACAAACCGTGCTAATAATGGTAGTGGGTGACCTGGAAAGAATGCCAAAAGTCATAACACTTTGGGTTGCCAAGTTAGGAATCCTTCCATCATCAGAGGAATTACCAGATGGCCTGATGTCTTCCTGAAGGGTCATCTGACTTGCCCTAAGATGATCCAATATCCATCTGGTGGATTGATACGACCACCGCAACGGAATCTGACCAGGAACTGAATTTTACGAAAGGAGAAAGTTTTTTCAGTGTGGAAAAAAAGAGATGGTTGGGGTCTTCAGATCTCATCTTTATCACATCCAATTTCTTGGATGGTGACTGAGGTATTTCTCTGTAGACAGAGGATGGGGACCCTTAAGTACCGAACTCCCTTGATAAAGTTGACCAACTTCTTGGAGCATGAGTATATTTATGCTTCAAGAGTTAAGGTTGGAGAGTGATGTTGACTTCATGGTGATTGCAGATAAGGACTCGTGTATTATATGTATAATATATGGTTTAACACTTGTGTGCATATAGTGGTAAACGGGACGTTGTCTAGAGAGTGACAGTTCTGATCAGTGTCACAGCAATTCTCATAAACGTAATTTCTCAGAACCAAAACTAAGTCAGTCTTCGAAAATTTCCCTAAAATTCACCTTTGGTGGTATACATAAAACAAATAAATAGATCAGAGATTTTTATTTACAAAATAGCATATATTTATATATAATTCCTGTACAAGTATTTTTCTTTGACATATTTCTCATGAAAGTAATTGCATAAGAAAATAAACAAATTTAATTTATATAAAACTGTCTATATTATGAAATTTCCAAATTATAGACGAGAAACTACCTGGCGTTTTTTAAGTCAGGTATATAATTTTTCTGGCTGGTATTTTAGATACCAGGGGGAAGATCCTCTCTATCGATACACTTTTTTGATATAAATATTTTTCATTCATTAATGAGGTCGAAAATTAAATTATAAATAAAAGGGCAAATGGGTGGGTGGGGGTTAGAGTGCTAAGGGATATTATGATAGTGAGAGTGCTAGGGGTAATTACGATAGTGAGAGTGCTAGGGGTAATTACGATAGTGAGAGGGGTACAGCAGAGAAAGCTGTACCTCCTTCCTGTAGGAAGTAGGATCAGGGGAGAGAGAGGTTATCATTGTTTCTTTTTTTTTTTATGAGTGAATGTTTATATGATAAATTACAAAGAAAACAACCTTTAGTCCTTAACATAATGTGGATCGCAGATACGCTGTGCGCATTAGTCGTGCATATTAGACGGCATCAGTTGTGTCACGAACATTGCACTGACTTCTGCCGTGAAACTCAGATGACGCACATGCTACAGTGCAATCAGCATTGATACATACACATACATGCACATAATACACATTAGCTGGTACATACGCATAACACCCATCAGCTTGTACATACTCTCATAGTGAGCATGCACTGACGCACCGCTTGGTATAAACACAATGTACATACATATGTAGATACCATATTCATTATCTGATATAATCAATTTATATATTGGTGCGCATCCATTGATATAAACTCAGACTAATGTTGCAGGTGACAAGATATTAAATCAAGTAATTTTACCACCAATATAAACAGACTGGAGCAAATCCACAACAGCTGATACTTGTTAACTGATACAGTGATCAATACAATAAATATATATAAATACAAAAATGACACAAAAATATACAAACATGTATAGATTAACAGGTACATTTATAACACTTGATATATAGAAGTAACACTTAACCACCTAATAAAACCTTTTAAGTTATAAATATATATTATATATATATATTTATATATATATATGATATATATATATATTTATATATATATATATATATATATAATATATATATATATACTTTATATATTATATATCTATATTATATATATATTATATATATTATATTATATATATATATATATTATGTTATCTAATCGCAGGATAGGCGATCTTAAGGAATGCAAGCAGTCCTGGTTGCATGGTAATTTTGCTCAAGATATTTTCAACTTCTTCGTGCGTCATCAGGAGCCAGGAGGTTTGGCATGAGCAGCAACAGGTAGATTAAGGAGACTTTTCTCAGAGGAAGGTAGTAGTGTATTGACGTGGTCAGTTTCACTCAGTAAGGCGTTCAGGAGTCGCCCCTATCACCCACGGCAACTTGTGTGGGACTCACTGGCGTCAACACGCTACCTTTCCTCTGATAAAACTTCTCAATCTACTCGTTGCTGGTCTTGCAACGTTACATAGCTCCTGATGACACACGGAGACGTGGTGAAACATCTTGACCTAAACATTTTCGTCCTCCTTGTTTTTGTCTTCTTTATTATATATATATATATTCTAATATATATATATATATATATATATATTATATATATATATATATATATATATATATGTGTGTGTGTGTGGTGTGTGTGTGTGTGTGTGTGTGTGTGTGTGTGTGTGTGTGTTGTGTGTGTGTGTGTGTGTATTAATTTCAATATTGGTAATTATTAAATTTCTTGCGAAGCGCTGAACTTTTACGTAAAGTTATAGTGCCTAGAATATACGAGCTAATGAGGTTTGATTTAAAAAGCAGGTAACTAAACCCTCATGGGTGATAGAGCTCTGCCGGGATCGATATCCTTCACTGGCATCAAGGCTCGTCCTGCTCCATCATTCCTCTCCTTGAAGTGTAATATTCACAAATATTCCCGCACATGGGATAGAGAAGCTTAATGCAACGTTTCGATCCGAGTTGGACCATTTACAAAGTGTGACTGTAAATAGTCCAAGTCGGACCGAAACGTCGTCTTAAGCTTCTTTCTCTCCTATGTGCGGGTTATTTGTGTATTGTTCCAGTCACGGTATTGTTCCAGTCACCGTATTGTTCCAGTCACCGTACTGTTCCAGTCACGGTATTGTGCCCTATTTGCTCTGTTAAAGTTCAATGTTCACAAATATCTGGGCTTCCCAATTATTGCTATTTCTATAAATTTCTAAAATATACAACAATTTATCTAGTAAAAAAAATGCAGTGGCTGTTTGACAAATAAATTCTCACCCCAGCTGGAGGTCTCGAATCAAGAAGAAAAATGGATTTTGGGATTGCATATTAAAAATCTGACATGAAGGTGCGATGGAATGCCGGCTCGTGGACACGATAATCCAGATGCTATTCAAGGGCTCTTGATTCATGGTGGTGCCTTCATGGTAAAGGAATCTTGATCCATGTTGGTGTCTTGATGGGCTCTTGATTCATGGTGGTGCCTTCATGGTAAAGGAATCTTGATCCATGTTGGTGTCTTGATGGGCTCTTGATCCATGGTGGTGCCTCGATGAACTCTTGATCCATGGTGGTGCCTTGATGGGCTCTTGATCCATGGTGGTGCCTTAACAGTGAAGGGCTCTTGATCGAAGGGGGTGCCTTGATGGGCTCTTAATCCATGGTGGTGACTTGAAAGTGAAGGGCTCTTGATCAGAGTAAAACTACCTTACCCTGCCCAGGACCTGCCTGATGACCTCCCATTCCCCAGGCTCTATATAATTCCAGCATCCCTCAAGTGAGCTGCTTCGGTGCAGGTGATGGTCTCGTGATCCAAGGAACTGGACATGACCATCTCCTTGGCTCAAACCTTATTGTCTCCCCTCACCCAAGATGTATGACTCCAACAGGTTTACCGCTTCTCCTTTACAATACCGGTATTTATTAATTAGATCTATCTATCGTTCACACAACCATGCATCTGATTTTTGGCCAAAGTTTTCAAGTGTCATTTATCGTCAATAAAACCAAAAGAAAGCACTAAACCCATATGGCTCATATCATTAAGTTTTATCATTAATTTTGCAGCTTTATTAAACCGTTTATATCACAGATTCATCGTGTTTACACACAGTTCTCTACAATAAAGTCTTTAAGGTGTATTTCCTCTTCCCTCACTGTAAAAATGGTGCCTCTCACCATCACTTTATAGTTAAGTGATTTTTTTTACTTTATAAGGTCAGGAGGAATATTTTTACAAGAAAATAGTGAAGTTTAACACAAGATGTCTTGTATTTCATTTTCATGTTGATTATTTGTCTCTCCGTCATCGTCATACTCTCTTCAGTCTTCTCTTTCCATCGCTGTCCACATCTTCGTTCTGCTGTCCTTTTTCTTTGTAGTTTTTCTTGCCTTCTCCGGAATTATCATCATTTGTACTGTCATTTGAATTTGCAAGAAGCCTGGCAAATGCTCCGTTTTCTTTCTTAGCTAGTTCTGCAGGATTCCCATCTTCTACAAGTTTCCCGTTTTCTAAGACGAGTACACGGCTATACTCCATTAGACTGCTAATCCCATGCTGAAAATGGAAGATTATATTTTTTTGAAAGCAAACGTTAAACCCACACAGGTCATATAGAGTAATGGCGGATTGGATTGTAAGGGGGGTTGGATGAATGGAGATGAGGGTTAGTTAGGGTGTACAATGAGTCATGGTGTGATAAGCTAATTCCTGTTAAAAGTCATAAAGTCTGATGTAAGGTTAAGATTTTTGGAAGTTAGTGAATTGAACATGTTAAAAGTGAATTGTGCATGTTCTTTGAATTGCTGGTGCTACCTGGCAGTCCTTACAGCAAGGCATGAAACGTCTCTTCATACGATGTATGTAAGAGTAGTGTTTATCCGAGTGTAGGAACATAGTTCCCACACCCCACAGTGATGGAAAGAAAATGGCCAGGAACCTAATTGCAATTTGATGGAAATCGGTTTGGTGCGCTCTAATTCAGACCAATGCTGTTGACAACAGTTTTAGAGTCTTGAGAGAGTGCTAGAAAATAGTCTGGAAAATTGTTTGGGGAAACTGGCAAATCGTGAATAGTGGATTGAACCGAGTCTGCATGTTCAGCGCCTTGCATGTCCGAGTGCCCAGAGACCCAACAAAATTCGACTTCTTTCTGCTTCCTTGAAGTGTAACATAACCATTGTTGTGCACGAAAAAAGTGATAGGATGTAGGGGATGAATTCTCAGAACTGTTTGTTATGAACTTTGGGAGACTGAAACAATAAATGAGAAAGCGGACATGATAGCTGAGTATCCTACTCCATCTGGGCATTTGGAACTGTCAGTGTACACTGCCATTGCATGAAAATGCCACTAGAAGTGTTCAAAGAAGAGTGCAAGTTCAAAACAGAGACTGGATTTTGGACATAGAGTGAGGGAGAAGCAATCATCAGTACTTCCAGAAGACGGCGGGATATTGTAATGTTTTCAAAGCACTTTGACTGTCGAAAGGAAGGTGGGACGAGTAAATGGGGTGAATGTAAAGGAGAGAAAAATTATAAACATTGCCAAAGTCTAAATGGACTAATAAATGGGGTTAATGATTAAGTAAATTAATCTTACGAATGCGCGCGGTTATAATGAATATATGAAGATCGTAAAGGTTGTGGAAGTAAACAAAATACCAAAGACAATGGCTATTGCATCAGTCCTGCAAATGAAGAATGTTTACTCTAATATACAGTCTCTTGACTGGAAGAAAATGATGAGAACCAGGACAGAGACCTAACCCCTCATGATGAAGGGCTCTGTCTTAAAAGTGACTGGGAAGGCTGCAGAATACAGTTGGTCGAAGTAATCAACTTGGACCGCATTTCACCTGAAGTCCAAGAAAGGTTTGCATATCACCTCAAGTAGAATGAACAAGTTTCAAGTAGGTTCAGCCGTTTAATGCAGGTGATTTTTAGGGTAATGATGCAAACAAATAAGAGGTCAAGAAATTTGACCATAGTACATACTGGGATTGGGAAGCCACACACATGAAATAAGTTGTGGAATGACAGGAAGTTTCATGAAAGTTATCGAATTTGTTTTTAGCAACAAAAACTTGAAATCATGTGAAGAAGTCCAGTTAGCATCTTGTTTATGAAGATGATCAGATACTTGTGCGAAGAACGGAAGTAAGGCCGCTAATAGCTTTCAGGAATAAGGTAATACTAAGGATGCAGTTTTGCACATAGGAGCCTCTCTGGCAAAACAATATCTTTGAAGATAAGCAACAGTCTCCAGTGTTAGACTCAGGAATAGGTTTGGGACAATATGATGTAATGCCCTGTAGTGTTATAAGCTTTTTCCTAGGTCTAAAAGACCGCAAAACTGAACGGCTGTCAATCCCTTTCAACTGCACATTATCTACACAATGTAGTTTTTATGTCCCTATAACATCTGTGATCTCTCAAGATAATTGTAAAAAAAAGCATGTTAAGTTCCCAAAGCTTAAATAAAAAGCTTAATGATGTAATGAGTGTAAAACACTATAAATTAAATTGTCACATAAACTTAGAGAGGGTGAGAGAAAGTGCGGGAGGGAAGGAAGGAAGGAGGGAGGGAAAGAAGGAAGGAAGGAAGGAGGGAGGGAAAGAAGGAAGGAAGGAAAGAGGGACAGATGGAAAGTCAGAGACAGAGAGGGAAGGAAGGCGATAGAAGAGGCAGGAGCGAATGAGGGAAACGTACTGCAATAGTGATGAGGGTGGCGTGGTGGAAGGTTGTGTGGAGTGCGTGGTGTAGTGCTCTTTCTGTGGCGGCGTCTAGAGCGGAGGTGGCTTCATCCAGTATGAGCAGTGATGATCTCGTCAGCACGGCTCGGGCCACACAGAAGAGCTGTCTTTGGCCAGCACTCAAGTTGCCACCTCCCTCACTCACCTCACTCTCTGTAAAGGAAGCGGGTGCTTAAGTGACTGTATTCTACAGACAGACAAAGGGGCGGATTTAATGGGAAAAGTGAGGTCTAAGGAGAAAGTAAATGTCAGGTTAAGTAAGTTTATTCAGGCACAATTTCACATAAGTAAGTAAGCAAGTAAGTTTATTCAGGTATATACAAATACAGTTACATAGATTATCATACATAGCAGCATATGTGACTTATTTCCATTGTGGTCCTTTTACCTTATTATTATTATAATATAAAGGTTATAATATCTTATTATTATTCTATAATGAAGATAACATCTTATTATCATACTAAAAAGACTATCTACTACACGAGGGTCATTAAGACTATCTACAATACGAGGGTCATTACTAGGAATAAGGTCAAATTACACGTGTGTTAGCTAAAAAATAAAAAATAATTCCCCTCCTTTTCTGTAGCTACATTCATCAGACACCTTTTGGCACTCTTCTTGAACTGGTTCATGCTACGACTGGCTTTGACATGTGCAGGAAGTCTGTTCCATTCCTTTATTGCTGTACAATGAAAGATGTTTGAAGCCTGGCCACTGACTGGGCACTACAAAGTGGTGCTCTCTCCCCCTAGTACTATGATTGTTTTGGTTCCCAACCTTGACAAAATTGGCAGCAAGATATTCTGGACACTCTTTTTTAAGCAGTTTTATAAACATGATTTAGCTTCAGTTGTTTTACTCTGTCTTCGACATTCAGCATATCCAACTGTTGTAGTTCATCCTGGCCTACATGCTCTCTTGGACCCAGGCCCAGGATGAATCTTACAATTTTGTTCTGGGTGATTTGCAGTCTATATTTCAGTTTTTTTGTCAAGGCCGAGTACCATGAAGAGCAAGCGTAATCCATATGACACAGTATAAAGGTTAGACATGGGGTCCTGCGAGCCTCAGGTAAACACTGTACTTGTTTATAGAGGAACTTCAGTCTGGCATTCGCTTTCTTTACTACACTGTTCCCTATCAATTCTCCCGACATGCATAAGTCAAAGGGGATTCCCAGATATTTTACTGAGGAAACCGAAGTGATGGGTTCCCCATTACACTGGACATTAAAATTATTTACCCTTCTCAGTTTATGTTTCGTGCAATGAGAATAGCTTCAGTTTTCCCGAGGTGTAATGAGAGTTTGTTGTCTACTAATCATTTGCTGCAGGACGCTAGCTACAGTGTTAATACATTAGTTATATCTTGTGGGTCTTTACCTGACACTAACAGAGCACTGTCATCTGCATACAGTAGGAGTTTGCACTTGATACTGATAGGCATGTCATTAACATAGCATAAGAATAATAAGGGACCCAGAATACTACCTTGGGGAACTCCACATGCTATCGGCAGGGGTTCTGATTCCGTTTTGTTGATTTTGACAATTTGTTTCCTGTTGCTAAGGTTGGACTTAAACCAGTCTACATAACCTATACCGATAGCTTGAAGTTTCTTACATAATATATTGTGGTTGACAGTATCGAAGGCCTTTTGCATGTCTAAGGTTACCATACCTGTGAGGTTCCCCATTGACATTTCAGTTCTCAAGTAATCCACCAGATTAGTTAGGGAGGTGTCGGTTGAGTAAGATCTTCTAAAGCCCGATGCATACATACACTTACATAAATTATACATAGAAGCATATGTGTAGATTACCTAGGGTAACCAAAAAGAAGTCAAAGTGACTTATTTTCAGTGGGTTCCTTGCCATATCTTATTATTTACATCTTATTATTTAGTTACTGGTTCAACAACAATTACTAAACCCCTGGAGTTTGTCTTGACTCAAAACCTGATGTTTACTCTAACATGTTTGCCCTGTTCGGTATGAGTCGGTGGCAGTGGTGGATTATTCTACGGAAAAAAGACCGTCTTTCCTGACACTGGTCTTTGTCCCACGATGACTCTTTAAATCTATGGTTCTTAGCCTGCGTTGTATGCACCCCGTTTCCATTACAGGTGTGCGGATAATGATATTAGGGTAATGATATTAAACAATAGTTAATATCATAAACCATTTATCAATTCTGATAAATGGTTCCAAAGTTAGTTAAGTTAGATTTGTTATCCTTCTGCAGTCATTTTATTTCTTACTACGATGCCTTCAAAAATATGGTAGGAGCCACTGTTTTAAATCTTGTTGGCGTTTTTAAGGGCCACTAACGGCTTACACCATATAAAGCCCTGATCTCGATTTACGGGGGAGACATATTGCTCAAAGCTGCAGGATGAAAGGAAAGGGAAGAGGATTTCCCTTCGGAAATATAAACAATAAAAGAATCCTAGTTAGGTCATGTAGACTCCCACTGACTAACCCCAGCAGAGAGGGACACTTACATCCTCACCTGAGTTCAATATCCGGCTTTCCACCAGTACCAATTCCAGTGAAAATTAGTGAAATCCAAGGGCATAATAATAATAATAATAATAATAATAATAATAATAATAATAATAATAATAATAATAATAATAATAATAATATCTTTATTTGTACAATTACATGTACAAGGTCTAGGCCTAGCTGACATCGACATACTACTATACAGAAAGCCGCTTGTTATGCAGAGCATTTCGGGCAAATTAGGTCAGTTTTGTCCCAGGATGCGACCCACACCAGTCGACTAACACCCAGGTACCTATTTTACTGATGAGGCACATAGACAACCGGTGTAAGGAAACACGTCCAATGTTTCTACCCTCGTTGGGAATGGAACCCGGACTTTTGCCATGTGAAACGAGAGCTTTAGCCACCAGGCCACGGGGCCACTGTGTATTTATGCCAACCGCATTTGGTGTTCTCATGCAGTCACCCATCCAAGTACTAACCAAACCCAACATTGTTTAACTTCGCTGATAGGACGAGAAGCGGTGCGTTCAACGTGGTATGGCCGTTGGACTATCACTATTTTTCTCTGTGGTTATTTTGCATGTTAAGATATCACCTGTCTCCCATGAACTTATTGCATCCTTAAATGGCTCTTATTTGCTATATTACCCCAACAAGTTCAGCGTGAATTCGTCTGAATGTAAAAATAATATAGATGATAAGAGAAAACGTTAAGAAGGGTAGAAGGAGCAACTAACCTAGACCATCAGGCATGGCGCTCACCAGAGTGCTGAGTTGCGCCACCTCCAGGGCCTTCCACAGGTGCTCGTCTGGACGCTCCCCCAGTGGATCCAAGTTGAACCTACACTCACAGATACATTATATGAGGTTCAAAATTTATAGTTGCAGGTAAAAAGTACACACAAAATGAGATTTCACAACAGTCAATTCTATGTGGTTTAGAAAAACTAGTTGAAGAATGAGACACTTTTGCAACATATGGGACTCTTTATTGAGGAAACGTTTCGCCAGCCAATGGCTTCAAGAGTCCAATACCAAGAAGAATGGTAACATTGCTTGGCTTTCTGTTGTTAAATAATACTGTATCCATTATTTGTGGAAAGAGCTGAACCCGTAAGGGAGGCAATCAGGTGTGATCCAAAGAGGAGGCTAGCTACAATTCCTCGGAGCAAGAGCTCTTTGAGCATTGATGCGCCTCCTCCTTGAAGATTTGCTTACCCTCTTCACTACTCGTCTACTTTTGTTCCTATCCATCTTCTCCCTTCTACTCTTCTACTTTTTCCCTCTTCTTCCTTCTACTCTTATCTCCTTTCTACTCTTCCAATCCATTAAGGGATGGGAAGACGAGAGTCAGCGAAGGGCTCTTGATATAAGGAACTGTATCGCTCCTCCCCTAACACTGACCATGATTGCTTCTCATTCCCCCAGGTGTTGTATGGCCCTTACCAGCTTAACGTTTCCCCATAAATATAATAATAATGATAATTAATAATAATAATACTTTCTTCTCCCCCCTTCTGCTACTGCCTCTTCTTTCTTCTGCTGTCTTACCTGATGGTGCCGCAGAAGAGCTGAGTGTCCTGCGGGATGAGGGATATGGAGCCTCGGAGGAGTGCCAGGGGGACACTGTTGATGTCAGTGCCATCTATGAGAATCGTACCCTCACTGGCTGCTACCAGGCGGTACAGACTCAGGATCAGCGAGCTTTTACCACTGCCAGTACGACCGCACAGCCCTACCTGTGTGGGAAGAGATGAGGCTTCGTGGTTGTGGTGCTATTAGTGTTGAAAGGAGTGGTGATGGTGTTGGTGGGAGTCACAATTCAGGTGGTAGTGATTATGATGGTGGGAGAAATGGTGCTAGTGGTGATGGCAGCAATGATGAAGATAGTAGTGGTGCTTGAGGGGAAAGTATTAATACTGGTGCTGATGGTAGTGGTGATGGTAGTTCTAGTGGGAGTAGTGGTGTTAGTGGGTGGAGTGGTACTGATGGAAGTATTGGTGCAGGTGTTGATAGTACTTGCCAACATTTGCACATTTGTATGCCTCAAGTCAGATAGCTGTGGGCAGCCCAATTCTCGGAGCTAAGCTTCAGGTGCTCACCCCCCTCCCACCCCTGTAATATATACAGACTACCACCCACATTGTTATCTCTTCACTAAAAGTTCTGAAAGACCAAACATAATTAGTGGTGGCCCCAGCTTGGCCTAAGTGGAGTCAATCATTTATTATAAAAAAAAAAATAATGGTGGTGCCAAGACACAGCCACTAACGAGTCGAAGTCGAATCTGTTCAGTTTAACCCATTTTTTATCTTTCATCAAAATTTCTATGGGCTTCGATGGGCAGAGAATGCATGTGATACCTCAAATCTACCCATCACTGCTATAGTTCGTTAGGGTTCTGCGGTATTTGTGGACAAGTCGTGCGAGTATACATACGTTTACCCCTACCATTCTGGGGGACGGCAAGTGATCACCACGTGTTACTGTAGCTTCCTTCACCAAAGTGTAGATTCCTCTCGCCAAGTGTTGCTACTTCATGCTCAAGCCACGTTTCCTAATGTTGTAGTAAAGCCACTTAGTACCTCATTGAAGCCATCAGTGATGCCTCTCTTGCGTTGTGTCCTAATTCCAAGACACATGGCCTAACCCACATCATCTTACCCGCCTGTTTGCAGTGGTATTCAGCTCCACCTCCTCAGCCCCTACCTTCATCCCTGTCTATTAGCTGCATGCAAGACTGGTAGAGAACAGCAAGTACCTTCTACTGTGCATCATGGCGACCTGTGATGTCATGGCCTCACTGCCAACCTTCACCTCCAATAGCCTGTAGCTTTCTACACTCCTACTTCTTTCCTTTAAGTGCAGCTAACTAACAGTTTGTCAGCTAGCCATGATTTTGCTAACTTTGTGAGCAACAAGAGTGTATTTATGGACAAAATCGTAGCTAGCTTGCCTCCCTAGTGTCAACAAACGCCACCACTGGTGCTGCACTCGTTGCAGCGAGTGTACTCTTGTTGTCACGCAAGGTTCCTCTGTCATCATTTTTTCTTAAATGGTCTTGTCAGTATTGTTGTAGGTAGACCTAGAAGCACCACTTCCCAAGATCCCTGTTATGACTGATTGTTAAGGAGTTACAGTGTGCTGCTAGCTCAGATTTACCAGTACATGAGCACACAACCCACAGACATTTTCCCTCCATACCTACATAAGCCCCAGCACCCCCATAAAAACTTTGATTAGTAAGACACATGCTCAACAATTAGGTATCGCTATTGCAAAAACCTTGTGCCTGCACAGCAAACTTCATCCGTCGAACGAGGGTGACTAAAATTCTGGAGACATCAGAAGTAGTAGAGAGGTAGATTTCAGTTGACCAGTCTTCCTCCTGGAGAATAAATAAGATTGAAGGACTGATTACCTCAAATCTACAGCACATGCCCACTACTGATGTTTCCTGAATTTTAGCAACGTGTATTTTGACTGAAGAACCTCTTGTGCATGCAGAAGGTTTCTGCAATAATGTTACCGAACTTCTGGATGTCTTACTCATCAACTTGTCTGTACTAGATGTCATTATTATGATACATAAAACTTTCCCTGTACACCCAGAAACATCTCCGCATCTTAACATACACAACCGCAGCATGAGTACCTTCTCTCCTGCAGCAATAGTAAATTTGAGTCCGGTCAGCACAGGTTCCAAGGACAGGTCATGCGTCAAGCTGACATCACGGAACTCGACGTGACCCTTGAGAGGCCAGCCCGGAGGAAGCCCTGATGACCTCCTGCTTGACCCCGAACCCGTGGATGACCCTGACCTCCATGATCTGTGGCTGAGTTGACTGTTACGTCGGCGGTAATGTGGGAGAGTTTCTGGAACAGGAACACTTGCTAAGATCAGATTATTTTTTTTTTAGAGGCAAAAGTCGACATTATTTACATTAAACTATGAAGTCACGGTATTTTTAATTACACTTATACAAATATAATTTAATAATGCATTAAGTTATTGAATCCTTTTTTATCATTTGGGCATGTAGGATCAGGTACTGAACCTCAAATAGAGTTCTATCTCTCAATTCATTCACTGATTTCAATTTGATATTCTCCTTTATTATACAACTCACATCAATGCCACTTTGACTTCAGCACACTCACCTGTGTCCTGCTGTTTCGGCTCCTGCTGCAAGTGCTGCTGCTCCTCCCTGGGCAAGGAGCCATACTGCTGCACTCTCTCCACTGCATTGAGACACATCTCCGTGTCAGCAAGGAAGCGGACCACCCAGTTGAGGTAGACGGGTACCAGGAGGGTGTAGTTGACAGCCAGACCCACCATGGCTGGGCTAAGGCTGTTATTAACCACCGTCGACCACAGCAGAGATGCCAATGTTGCAAAGAATACTATGAACCCACCGATGTAGTCCTGCCGATGAACACGTAAAATTATGATCACATGTTGGGTTGTGAGCAATAACCATCAAAATATTTAAAATACAGTACATAGTAAGACTTGCGAACCAAAAACCAGAAAATATAAATGTGGAATACAAAGATGAGCTTGAGCCGGGCATGACAAGAGAATACTGCACAATATTTTGGCATATAAATCTTGTGTATTTTACAAAACAATGCTGCTTTCTTGTTTTGTACACTCGCTGTGCACGACACAGTGCATGTACAAAACTTACAAACTTCACTTAATTCAATATTTTCAGAATGGTAACTATAAAATACAAATAAATGGAAGAATATGTAAGTTCACGGAGCAGCGAAATAAGTTAATGAACTCCCTCTGATTATAAATGTCCAGAAAAGGTAATCTAGCATTCTTCTCCCGTCCCAATATAAATTTAAAGCTCGGATCTCTGTTTTTTATTTTCACGACAAAAATCATCACACACTCGTTTCTCTTTCCAGATAGTAAAGATGATGTCAAATTCTGTAACATTTCCCGAGGCTTAAATAATGATATTACATTAGTGCTTCAAAGTATGCCAGGAAAATTTTCTGGCAGAAAATATTTATGATGATCGAAGTTATGGAGTTAAACTCTTACGAAGGTTAAGGGACTGATCATCTCAAACTTACTTATTTCAAGTTTGATGGACTGATCATCTCATATCTACCTCTCCACCACTTCTGTTAGTCTCTAGTACATATGCCACCTCTATATTTTGACTGAAGAAGCTTGTTGAGCAGAGAAAATATTTCGACAGTAAAGACACCCAGCTGCTGCACGTGTGTCTTACTCATTTACTTGTCTGTATTATATACCATTAATATGATGGAAAAAATATTTACGGTATAACTGGTGGAAAACGGATGGTATGATACGGATGTATTGATCACATACTTATTATCTGGTAAGAAAATCTGGGACCGTAATTTTTGAAAAACTTAATGATCTAGGTAATAGCATTAAATTTATATAGGGATAAGAGAGATGCCATGACACCCTTCTTGGATATATTGATAAGCAGCACAGGCTGGCAGATTTTACTGCTTTATATATAAAATCATCCTGTATGATGGAATATGGCAGGGGAAACTGTATTTTTTAATGAAAATAGGATAGCTGCATACTGAGTGCATATGTTGAAGAAAATACAGGAGAAGTGCAGGCTTTCATCGTGACAGACGATTTGCTCCGGGGAGAGCTTTATTAAGTCGAATGACTAGGTAAAGCTCTCCAGAGAGTGAAACATTGTAACAGTAAGAACTTGGTTTCCACTTATCTTCTTCATTACTCTCAGTAGCATTTCTTTATACCCGTAATTGTCTTTTAAACCCCCAGAAATATATAAAAATCCTGGTAACACTCACCAGACAGATCCCCAGCCACCTGTTGCCAGCGTGGAGTAGTGTGAACGCTGCTACGTGTGTGTCCAGACGACGCAGGAAGACATCAGTGAACCTGCGCTGGTCACCGTAAGCTCTGATCACCACAGCTCCTCTCACACTCTCGCTCAAGTGGCTGTACAGCGGTGACCTCGACAAGCTCTCCAGGCGCTTCAGCTCCCTGTGAAGCGTAGCAAGATAAAGGGGTTTAGTTTCGAAGTTAGTCGCATCTTCTATGTTAGTTTACGTGATGATGGCAACATTGTCTTATTCCAGTACTGAGGATGAAAGAAAGTTGTAAGATTTTTAAAAGCACTTTAACCTATGAAATTACTCTCCTCTTCCTTGGATCAAAACTGAATACCTCCTATTCTCCCAGGTACTGCATAAACCCAATTGGTTTAACACTCCCTACATCTAATAATAATAATAACAATAATAATAATAATAATGTCAAGAACTCAGAGCTCATGGCAGTAAAATGTAAATAAAAAAATAAAGTAACGACATCCGAAGTAACGCTGTTTTAAAAATAAAAGGGACTGACAGGAACACATGGACAACACAAATATTAATATCACACTAAGTCATAATAATCTACATTAGTTAAAAAACACCCCGGAGGATGGGTCGCACCCCGGGGGATGGGTCGCACCCCGGGGGATGGGTCGCACCCCGGGGGATGGGTCGCACCCCGGGGGACGGGTCGCACCCTAGAGGATGGGTCGCACCCCGGAACATGGGTCATATATTGCAGTAAAATACGTCAACAAGAGCGTTGGAGACTTCAGAGTGACCTGGATATAACACGATGTGCATTAAATAACTAGGAGCTCTTCCATATAAGCGGATACTACAGTAAAACAATACATGTAGATTTCGTCTTCATGAAAAAAAACGTTTTTAATTGCCAGATATAAGTTTAATTGACGTGAAGGCTTGGGAACTCCCGTTTCACCAGATCTGCAGTTATAGAAATGGTTGAGAAAATTGACAAGTATATAAATAAGACACAGGTGAGAGACATGGATATCTGCTTCACTTAATCTGTCTGCAGTATATAAGCCCCTTCTCCGCGCATCTACTGTACTTTAATCAAGACTGATGGGCCGAACACACAGACCTCCAGGTTATGGGGCTGATTACCTCATCTTACTCCTCATCATCCACCATTTTTCTATGAGACTATGAAGCCACTGGTTGGCGAAACGTTTCAACAGTAAAGATACCCAAAATGTTGCATAAATGTCTCATTCATCAGATCTAGAGTTATACTGTATTATGTTGGGCTTACCATCTCTTAGAATAACTTAGCTCCAGAGAAATAAACAAGTGTAGAGGGAGATATTGAGGATGTAATAATGTTAGTAGAATTACCTACAATATGTAAAGTAAAAGGACACAAGTGCAACTAATGTGACATTTTATTGTGGCAACGTTTCGCTCTCCAGGAGCTTTGTCAAGCCGATACAAACATTATAAGGACACAGAGGGTATATAAAGGCTCAGAGTGAGGTGCAAAACTGTTTATATCGGCTTGGCAAAGCTCCTGGAGAGCGAAACATTGCCACAATAAAATGTCATATTAGTTGCACTTACGTCCTTTTACTTTACATATTGAGAATGAGAATGCTAATGAAAAGATTCCTGCTTACACGGTAAGTCAATGACTGGGCACACTCCTCCATGGAATCAGTATGTTACTCATATTATAAATGAACACCTACATTTATCTCAGTAGCAGACCCAACATATTTTGTTATTGTCCAGTGATAATGGGACCTCTGCCTACTGTAGCAGTGCAAGCTGCAGTGACCACCAACTGCTCTCCATTTATGTTGTTTACAGCCAGCAACCCACAGTGATTCAACCAGGTGGTAGTGACTAACTCTTGTCCTTGTCATCGACGAGCTAGTTGACGTAATGAATGCTGGTGTGACCGCTGGTTGTAAAAACATAGATGGTTCAGGGTAGTCGCCACAGACTTCACGGATACAATTGGTAGCTGGTGTACGAGCAGTCTTTTAGGGCAAGTTTCACATGGAAACTTTGGAGGAAGAAAAAATTCCAACATCAGAACTTTTTATGTATAGCCCGAAAGGGTCCACCTAAAAAAAAAGTTCTTCTGAAGCATAATTATTAAGTTCATGGGAAAGTGCTAAGCCCGTACGGGTCATACAGGGCCTGGGGAATGGTAGGTAATTAGGTTTCATCCAAGGATAAGTATAGCTCCCATTCCTCAGATGAAGTCCACCAGTATCACAGCGCCTTACAGGGTCTTCTGAAGGTGATGTTTTCAATACCGAACACAGCTGACCTGGAGGAACACCTGAAGAACTTCTGGACTGCGTAGTAGATGCCACAGATGGGGACAGCAACAGCCAGGAAGGCAGGTGTGATGATGACATTAACCAGCACCGCAGAGCTCACCATCAGCACGAAGAACAGCAGGTGTGTCACCGATCTCGCCAGCTCCTATACACCACAGGAAGTGTCACGTATGGAGAAGCGACAGGGAGGGGGTGTCACACGTAGGAACAACAGGGTGGTGTCAAACACAGCAATGACAAGGAGTCACCACACACAGGAATGACAGGGAGGAAGTGTCACACACAGGAATGACAGGGAGGAAGTGTCCCACACAGGAATGACAGGGAGAAAGTGTCACACACAGGAATGACATGGAGGAAGTGTCACACACAGGAATGACAGGGAGAAAGTGTCACGCACAGGAATGAAGTGAAGGAAGTGTCACACACAGGAGGGATGGTATGGTTGTCACACACAAGCATGACAATAGTAATGTCTGTCAGTTCATTGTATTGCTGGGATTCTAAAATTTCATTTAAATTTACGGAAGATGAAAAAAAATACAAAATTAAGATGACACAGAACGATGATTTATCTTGCAGAATACGTTAATAAGCAGTTGTTTCATGCATTTGTGAGGGGATAGCATTTTATGCACTAAATTCTTCGACCTTCAGATGATATGAGATGCACATTTTCCATGACTAAAAATGGCTTTTATAGTTACTTCCCAGCCTCGTGACCTACCTTGTCAATCATAGCAGTATCAGTTGTGAACCGGTTCATGATCCTTCCAGCAGGTGTAGTGTCAAAGAAACGGATGGGGCAACGGACCAAGTTCTCCAACATGTCTTGGTGGAGACGTCTCCTGCCTCGGCCAGCGGCAAACTGAGCCAGGAGGTTGGTAGAGAGGGAGAGGAGTATGGAGATCACGGAGAGCAGAGCATAGATGCTGAAGTAGTAGCGCATCTGGGGGAGGATATAATGTAAATGTTAGTGTATTTATGTGAAGCGCTAAGCCCGCGTGGCGAAGCAGGAGTTTCCAACCTCTGGGTCACAACCCCAACTGGGGTTACTTGAGTAATTTTTCTTGAGGTTATAAATCTTTTAAAAAATTTTCACTAGTGATTCCTAAAAAAGTTGATTGTAAGCTTTAGTTATATACGACAGCAGTAACAGTCATCACAAGCTTAGCCAGCACTAGTGTAGAGTGCATCATATATTCACACCATTTATGTTCACTTCCAGAGATCAACAGTAGCAGCCAAAGGAACATCTGGACTCTTAAAGTCACTGACTTAGAAATAATTCCTATTTTCTTAGATATCCCCGAAGTGGAGACTTTTTCCCTCCAACTTTTTTTTCCCCTCCAACTTTTCGATTTTCTTGTAGGATTTAAATCTTGAATGCTTGTGTACGGTAATGAGGACCAGATTCTAGAACAGTTGGCAAGAACAGGTATCCTGTGACCAAAGTTACTGAACTCATTCCCAACATCCTGGAGTGGCAGGGATAATTTAAAAAACTCTCAGTAGCATAGCTTCGAATATTCAAAAAAGTTCCCTCCTAATTCAACACTGACAGTGAAATTCACGTGGGTAAGTGTGAATCTCACTATTTTTGTGTGTGTAAAATTATGAGAAATTTTGTTTCACGTTTAATCACCATAAAAATACTTTCGTCTACCTCTTCTGAATAGCTTCAGTATGTAACACACACACACATGCATACATATGAAAGTGCACATTCGTATAGTAATTCATGCGCATATACACACGTATACATGTTTTTAGATTTTGCGGCATTGAAATTTAGTGACTAACCTTCTATATTCTCTTTTGCTTGCACTGAGGTAGAGGAGGTTGGTTTGTGGAAGACAGAGATGCCTTTTTCGGATAGCGCAGCGGCCGCAACACATCTAACTAATAGTACATACATTTTTGCCTATTCAAATGCGTACAATTTTGACTATGAAAATATTATTGAATACCCTAAATAAATAGGCGAGTTTTGCATATATAAGTTAAAAATGCCATTTATTTGGTTGATTAATTGATTCTAAAGTCTATGGAGTTCACTTGTTTGTGATGCACGTAACCTTGTCATCACCAGACAATAACAATTAATCTCTCTGATAGGAATTAAAGCACACCCTCGGCATATATATACTGAGATAAATACACCTCTTAGTGTATATATCCAGCGGCATTTACATAAGCTGGCAACCACGACTAGTGAGTCTCTCAGCTTCTATGATATCCTCTTGACCTGCCATCTATGCGGTGGTAACAATAATCTGCCGCTTATTCCTTTCATCATATTGAATTATGTGAAAAATGAATATATTTAAAAAGAAGCCGGATCTCGGGCTACAGAAACCCAAGGTGAACAATCTAAATATGTTTCCTACCCTCAGGGGCAGCTTCAGAATTTCTATTAAGGAGGGGCTTTGTGGTGGCAATCTGCTTTCGAAGGGCCGGAGGAGGTATTCTAGGGGTCAGCGCCCCCGAGGCCCGGGGTTAGTGTATCGTAAGGTTCAATGTCTTGAAGGCGCATTTGTAGAATAAGCACACTACTTTTACTTAGGGTGCATGTTACAGATCAATAAGGAATAATGAAGTGTTTTTTAAAATAGTTTAAGCTGTGACACCATCACTGGGCTACCACCTGGACACGACCCGGGCCGGAACCATGACGCGAATCACACAGGAACGTGATTTATTTTTTACTTTTATTATTACTGATGACTTCCACCACTGATGACTTCCACCACTGATGACTTCCACCACTGATGACTTCCACCACTGATGACTTCCACCACTGATGACTGCCACCACTGATGACTTCCACCACTGATGACTTCCACCACTGATGACTTCCACCACTGATGACTTCCACCATGATGACTTCCACCACTGATGACTTCCACCACTGATGACTGCCACCACTGATGACTTCCACCACTGATGACTTCCACCACTGATGACTTCCACCACTGATGACTTCCACCACTGATGACTTCCACCACTGATGACTTCCACCACTGATGACTTCCACCACTGATGACTTCCACCACTGATGACTTCCACCACTGATGACTTCCACCACTGATGACTTCCACCACTGATGACTTCCACCACTGATGACTTCCACCACTGATGACTTCCACCACTGAGACTGCCACCACTGATGACTGCCACCACTGATGACTGCCACCACTGACGACTGCCACCACTGATGACTGCCACCACTGATGACTTCCACCACTGATGACTTCCACCACTGATGACTTCCACCACTGATGACTTCCACCACTGATGACTTCCACCACTGATGACTTCCACCACTGATGACTTCCACCACTGATGACTTCCACCACTGATGACTTCCACCACTGATGACTTCCACCACTGATGACTTCCACCACTGATGACTTCCACCACTGATGACTTCCACCACTGATGACTTCCACCACTGATGACTTCCAACACTGATGACTGCCACCACTGATGACTGCCACCACTGACGACTGCCACCACTGACGACTGCCACCACTGATGACTTCCACCACTGATGACTTCCACCACTGATGACTTCCACCACTGATGACTTCCACCACTGATGACTTCCACCACTGATGACTTCCACCACTGATGACTTCCACCACTGATGACTTCCACCACTGATGACTTCCACCACTGATGACTTCCACCACTGATGACTTCCACCACTGATGACTTCCACCACTGATGACTTCCACCACTGATGACTTCCACCACTGATGACTTCCACCACTGATGACTTCCACCACTGATGACTTCCACCACTGATGACTTCCACCACTGATGACTTCCACCACTGATGACTGCCACCACTGATGACTGCCACCACTGACGACTGCCACCACTGACGACTGCCACCACTGATGACTGCCACCACTGATGACTTCCACCACTGATGACTTCCACCACTGATGACTTCCACCACTGATGACTTCCACCACTGATGACTTCCACCACTGATGACTTCCACCACTGATGACTTCCACCACTGATGACTTCCACCACTGATGACTTCCACCACTGATGACTTCCACCACTGATGACTTCCACCACTGATGACTTCCACCACTGATGACTTCCACCACTGATGACTTCCACCACTGATGACTTCCACCACTGATGACTTCCACCACTGATGACTTCCACCACTGATGACTTCCACCACTGATGACTTCCACCACTGATGACTGCCACCACTGATGACTGCCACCACTGACGACTGCCACCACTGACGACTGCCACCCCCCCTGATAGACTGCCACCACTGATGACTTCCACCACTGATGACTTCCACCACTGATGACTTCCACCACTGATGACTTCCACCACTGATGACTTCCACCACTGATGACTTCCACCACTGATGACTTCCACCACTGATGACTTCCACCACTGATGACTTCCACCACTGATGACTTCCACCACTGATGACTTCCACCACTGATGACTTCCACCACTGATGACTTCCACCACTGATGACTTCCACCACTGATGACTTCCACCACTGATGACTTCCACCACTGATGACTTCCACCACTGATGACTTCCACCACTGATGATTTCCACCACTGATGACTTCCACCACTGATGACTTCCACCACTGATGACTTCCACCACTGATGACTTCCACCACTGATGACTTCCACCACTGATGACTTCCACCACTGATGACTTCCACCACTGATGACTTCCACCACTGATGACTTCCACCACTGAGATTACTCCTTCCACCACTGATGACTTCCACCACTGATGACTTCCACCACTGATGACTTCCACCACTGATGACTTCCACCACTGATGACTTCCACCACTGATGACTTCCACCACTGATGACTTCCACCACTGATGACTTCCACCACTGATGACTTCCACCACTGATGACTTCCACCACTGATGACTTCCACCCCACTGATGACTTCCACCACTGATGACTTCCACCACTGATGACTTCCACCACTGATGACTTCCACCACTGATGACTTCCCACCACTGATGACTGCCACCACTGATGACTGCCACCACTGATGACTGCCACCACTGACGACGGGCCACCACTGATGACTGCCACCACTGATGACTTCCACCACTGATGACTTCCACCACTGATGACTTCCACCACTGATGACTTCCACCACTGATGACTTCCACCACTGATGACTTCCACCACTGATGACTTCCACCACTGATGACTTCCACCACTGATGACTTCCACCACTGATGACTTCCACCACTGATGACTTCCACCACTGATGACTTCCACCACTGATGACTTCCACCACTGATGACTTCCACCACTGATGACTTCCACCACTGATGACTTCCACCACTGATGACTTCCACCACTGATGACTTCCACCACTGATGACTTCCCACCACTGATGACTTCCACCACTGATGACTTCCACCACTGATGACTTCCACCACTGATGATTTGCCACCACTGATGACTGCCACCACTGATGACTGCCACCACTGACGACTGCCACCACTGATGACTGCCACCACTGATGACTTCCACCACTGATGACTTCCACCACTGATGACTTCCACCACTGATGACTTCCACCACTGATGACTTCCACCACTGATGACTGCCACCACTGATGACTTCCACCACTGATGACTGCCACCACTGATGACTTCCACCACTGATGACTTCCACCACTGATGACTTCCACCACTGATGACTTCCACCACTGATGACTTCCACCACTGATGACTTCCACCACTGATAAATTCCACCACTGATAAATTCCACCACTGATGACTTCCACCACTGATGACTGCCACCACTGATGACTTCCACCACTGATGACTTCCACCACTGATGACTTCCACCACTGATGACTTCCACCACTGATGACTTCCACCACTGATGACTTCCACCACTGATGACTTTCACCACTGATGACTTCCACCACTGATGACTTCCACCACTGATGACTTCCACCACTGATGACTTTCACCACTGATGACTTCCGCCACTGATGACTTCCACCACTGATGACTTCCACCACTGATGACTTCCACCACTGATGACTTCCACCACTGATGACTTCCACCAGTGATGACTTCCACCAGTGATAACTTCCACCAGTGATAACTTCCACCACTGATGACTTCCACCACTGATGACTTCCACCACTGATGACTTCCACCACTGATGACTTCCACCACTGATTACTTCCACCACTGATGACTTCCACCAGTGATAACTTCCACCAGTGATAACTTCCACCAGTGATAACTTCCATCACTGATAACTTCCACCACTGATAACTTCCACCAGTAATAACTTCCATCACTGATAACTTCTACCACTGATAACTTTTACCAGTGATAACTTTCACCAGTGATAACTTCCACCAGTGATAACTTCCACCAGTGATAACTTCCACCAGTGATAACTTCCACCACTGATAACTTCCACCAGTGATAACTTCCACCACTGATAACTTCCACCACTGATGACTTCCACCACTGATGACTTCCACCACTGATGACTGCCACCACTGATGACTGCCACCACTGATGACTGCCACCACTGACGACTGCCACCACTGATGACTGCCACCACTGATGACTTCCACCACTGATGACTTCCACCACTGATGACTTCCACCACTGATGACTTCCACCACTGATGACTTCCACCACTGATGACTTCCACCACTGATGATTTCCACCACTGATGACTTCCACCACTGATGACTCCACCACTGATGACTTCCACCACTGATGACTTCCACCACTGATGACTTCCACCACTGATGACTTCCACCACTGATGACTTCCACCACTGATGACTTCCACCACTGATGACTTCCACCACTGATGACTTCCACCACTGATGACTTCCACCACTGATGACTGCCACCACTGATGACTGCCACCACTGATGACTGCCACCACTGACGACTGCCACCACTGATGACTGCCACCACTGATGACTTCCACCACTGATGACTTCCACCACTGATGACTTCCACCACTGATGACTTCCACCACTGATGACTTCCACCACTGATGACTTCCACCACTGATGACTTCCACCACTGATGACTTCCACCACTGATGACTTCCACCACTGATGACTTCCACCACTGATGACTTCCACCACTGATGACTTCCACCACTGATGACTTCCACCACTGATGACTTCCACCACTGATGACTTCCACCACTGATGACTTCCACCACTGATGACTTCCACCACTGATGACTTCCACCACTGATGACTTCCACCACTGATGACTTCCACCACTGATGACTTCCACCACTGATGACTTCCACCACGATGACTTCCACCACTGATGACTTCCACCACTGATGACTTCCACCACTGATGACTTCCACCACTGATGACTTCCACCACTGATGACTTTCACCACTGATGACTTCCGCCACTGATGACTTCCACCACTGATGACTTCCACCACTGATGACTTCCACCACTGATGACTTCCACCACTGATGACTTCCACCAGTGATGACTTCCACCAGTGATAACTTCCACCAGTGATAACTTCCACCACTGATGACTTCCACCACTGATGACTTCCACCACTGATGACTTCCACCACTGATGACTTCCACCACTGATGACTTCCACCACTGATGACTTCCACCACTGATAACTTCCACCAGTGATAAATTCCACCAGTGATAACTTCCATCACTGATAACTTCCACCACTGATAACTTCCACCAGTAATAACTTCCATCACTGATAACTTCTACCACTGATAACTTTTACCAGTGATAACTTTCACCAGTGATAACTTCCACCAGTGATAACTTCCACCAGTGATAACTTCCACCAGTGATAACTTCCACCACTGATAACTTCCACCAGTGATAACTTCCACCACTGATAACTTCCACCACTGATAACTTCTATCACTGATAACTTCCACCACTGATGACTTCCACCACTGAGGACTTCCACCAGTGATTACTTCCACCAGTTATAACTTCCACCAGTGATAACTTCTACAAGTGATAACTTCCACCAGTGATAACTTCCACCAGTGATAACTTCCACCACTGATAACTTCCACCAGTGATAACTTCCACCACTGATAACTTCCACCAGTGATAACTTCCACCACTGATAACTTCCACCACTGATAACTTTCACCAGTGATAACTTCCACCAGTGATAACTTCCACCACTGATAACTTCCACCAGTGATAACTTCCACCACTGATAACTTCCACCAGTGATAACTTCCACCAATGAGGGGAGGGGGAGGGGGACGGGGAGGGGGAAGGGGAGGGGGAAGGGAGGGCGATGTGGGAGGGGGATATGGGAGGGGGAGGGCGAGGGGGAGAAGGGGATGGGGGAAGTGCCAGTGTATTGATGAAGGGGAGAGGATCCTGATTCAAGGAATTACAGCTACTCTTTCCCCCTTTTTTTAATGTAACCTGATTACCTTTCACTGTTACTGAGCTTAGTTTTTCTAGTTTTACTAAATGCTCGGTTATCACTAACGTGTTATGTTTTTTTTCAAGTTGATTCATCATAGATGAATAGTTGAAAACGGTGTGTGGAGGCTCGATCCTTTGTCCGCTAAGTGGAATGGAAGGATGTTATTTTACATATGAGGTGTTGAGAGCAGCGGTGCGAATAGTGCTGCCGCCTCACACTTTTATCTAACTTTATGAGTGAATTTACTCTCTCTGGCAAGCAATTCAGGGCGTGTCTTGATGGTGAAGAGCTCACGATCCAAGGACTTTCAGCTACCATTCTCTTTCTCAGATCAAACCTGATCATCTGTTGTATACAAGAATGTAACAATAATAATCTGAGTAATGTCAGATAAAATCCTATGTCACTCAAATAAATATTTCAGTTTCAGTCTTCCTCTACAGAATACATTATTACTCAACCAATTTTATTCATTTAATAAGACATGATGCTGAATATTTTCGCTCGTTGTAGAGCTTTACCAACACGACTTTATACAGCTCTACACAGAGCGATACGTTGTCCCAATAAAAAGAACGTGTTCTACAATGTGTTCATTCTTCACTAACACTGACAGACGGCTGTTTTAATTCAGTAATATAAACCAGGAACAAAGACGAGGTGCTCACCGTATCCTGCACATAGTGCTGGTACCTCTCACGTATGTTGAGGATGTGAGGCTCTACACCTCCTTCCTTGCCCATGGGGTCATTCGCCTGCGCCAAGTGGGTCTTGAAGGCCTGCCAATTTTTTTGCTCTGTAGCGTTCCAAGAATTGGCCTCCCCTGACCAGCTCTCCAGCCAGAAGTCCAGACCCACTGACACTCCTGGATGAGAGACATGTGGATGAAGATGTAAGTGCGGTTATGTTTGCCCAATCACAATCATTTTATTTTACGAAATATCAAGTATCTTTCCACTAGGTTCCTAGTAATACCAGGTATTGAATCATTAAAAAAAATCCAATAATGTGGATATTATAACTAGTCTAAATTTTGATCCATACGCTGCACATCCTACGGGTCTTCTGATTAATGATTAATGTATGATATGTTTATGCAATAATCTGAAGTAAGGAATTGAATTGTATTGTATAAATATTTATATAAACAGAAGAATGAATGAACTTAAGAATGTATAATTTGCTTGGCATACCATAAATTATACAATAGAATATAAAATACACAACACACAACATACACACATGCTTCGTACAGCACACAACACATATACTACACTCAACATACTACACTCAACATACTACACTCAACATACTACACTCAACATACTACACTCAACATACTACACTCAACATACTACACACAACATACTACACACAACGTACTACACACAACGTACTCACAACATACTACACACAACATACTACACTCAACATACTACACACAACATACTACACACAACGTACTACACTCAACATACTACACTCAACATACTACACTCAACATACTACACACAACGTACTACACTCAACATACTACACTCAACATACTACACTCAACATACTACACTCAACATACTACACACAACGTACTCACAACATACTACACTCAACATACTACACTCAACATACTACACTCAACATACTACACACAACGTACTCACAACATACTACACTCAACATACTACACACAACGTACTCACAACATACTACACTCAACATACTACACACAACGTACTCACAATATACTACACTCAACATACTACACACAACGTACTCACAACATACTACACTCAACATACTACACTCAACATACTACACTCAACATACTACACTCAACATACTACACTCAACATACTACACTCAACATGCTACACACAACATATTACACACAACATACTACACTCAACATACTACACTCAACATACTACACACAACGTACTCACAACATACTACACTCAACATACTACACTCAACATACTACACTCAACATACTACACTCAACATACTACACTCAACATACTACACTCAACATACTACACTCAACATACTACACTCAACATGCTACACACAACATATTACACACAACATACTACACTCAACATACTACACTCAACATACTACACACAACGTACTCACAACATACTACACTCAACATACTACACTCAACATACTACACTCAACTATACTACACTCAACATACTACACACAACATACTACACTCAACATACTACACTCAACATACTACACACAACGTACTCACAACATGCTACACACACAACATACTACACTCAACATACTAACAACCCAACATACAACACTCAACATACTACACTCAACATACTACACTCAACATACTACACTCAACATACTACACCACAACATGCTACACACATGTCACACACAACATACTACACTCAACATACTACACACAACATACTCACGCACAACACACTACACTAAACATACTACACTCAACATACTACACTCAACATACTACACACAACATACTCACAACATACTACACTCAACATACTACACACAGTATGCTACACACACCATACTACCCACAACATACTGCACTCAGCATACTACACTCAACATACTACTCAACATACTACACACAACATACATACAACATACTAAACACAACAACATGCTACACACAACATACTACACACAACATACTGCACTCAACATACTACACTCAACATACTATGCTCAACATACTACACAACATACTTCACACATGCTACACACAACATACTACACTCAACATGCTACACTCAACATGTCAGCATAGTTGCTGATCCCCTGTATGTGTATATGTTATCTGAGTATCATAGTACCATCCATACGTTTTACATAGTTGACCTCTTGCTAGGCTCTTTGGCTAGCATGTGTGACGTCACGTGATGTCGCATGTGAGTGTTGGGCTCCCTGCCTCTCCCTCACTCACTCTTAGGTCTAAAACAAGGCAACACAGCAGGCTGGGCTCCCCTTCTCACACTCTGTTAATATAAGTATTACCAACAAGTGTGTTTAACTCCAACCATCATATCTCCACAAACCCTCTCAACAAATGGTGCCAGCAGTGAGCGCGTATATTTTATATTTACACAGATGTACCGAGATAAACTTCTCTCAGCCAAGTGTAGACCGCATGGCGGCCTAGCAGCCAGCTACCCCGAGCAAGCGTCCACCAGCCTTTGTAGACATTTGTTCAGATCTCCCTCAGCCAAGGCATATGTTAGCCATTGCAAAAGAATTTGATCCTCCCAAAGACGATAACCATTCTGCATATGTAAATCTTACCCTCGCAGAGTTGGGTTTAAATGTACATAACCTGTATAATTAGATGTCCAAGATGAATGAAGTTGTCAAATGTGTGTTTATTATTAGCTGATCAGTTTTCAGAATTTTTTTTTTGTTCATGTTCCCTCTGAATTCTGAGAATTAGCAATATGACCTGAGTGCGCCTGGTCTGTCTTTGCTGTTAATTACTTTCAATTTGTAAATATATATTCTTCCTCAGAATCCGTAGAGTGCATGAATACAGATCGATCGATCAATTCCTTCTTTTCTTATACTATGATTTGTTCTTATAATTCATAATGCATTACATTAACACCCATTATAATACCATCCATTAGTTCTAAGTTACATATGTCTTTGCTATTGTATAGAATCAGCCCAGACCCACCTGCCTGTTCAGCCTAAAGCATAGTATTGTATGTCTAGACGACATACGTAACATGACCGGGCTGTCAGTATAGTTGTTGATCCCCTGTATATGTAAATGTTATCTGAGTATCATAGTACCATCCATACGTTTTACATAGTTGACCTCTTGCTAGGTTCATTGGTTAGCATGTGTGATGTCATGTGATGCCACATGTGAGTGCTGGGCTCCCTGCCTCTCCCTCACTCCACGCTTAGGTCTACAACAAAGCAACACAGCAGGCTGGGCTTCCCTTCTCGCACTCTGCTAATATAAGTGTTGCCAACCAACAAGTGTGTTTAACTCCAACCATCATATCTCCACAAGCCCTCTCAACAAACATACTACACACAACATACTAAATTCAACATACAACACTCAACATACTACACACAACATACTACACACAACATACTAAACTCATATGACACACAACATACTACACACAACATAACACATACAACATACTACACACAACATACCACATGCAACATTACACTCAACATACTACATTCAACATACTACACTCAATATACTACACACAACATACTGC